TTAATGTGACAGTCAACAAGGCTAAAGGTGTACTTGCATTTGTGAAATGATGGTCAAAAGAATTTAGTGACCCTTATATCACTAAAACCCTGTTTACAACATTAGTTAGGCCGATTCTGGAATACGGCTCGGTGGTTTGGAATCCAAGGTATCAAATTTACTCAGAAAAGATAGAATCAATTCAAAAACAATTCCTACTTTTTGCTTTAAAAAATTTCCGATGGGATTCTCAATATAGTCGCTTAAAACTTATTAACCTTCCTACACTTTCCAGTCGCAGGGAAATGCTTGGTATAATTTTTATGGTTAAATTACTGACAGGCTCAATTTCAAGTCCGTCTCTTCTGGCTGATGTAAGCTTTAATGTTCCCTCACGCGTATCAAGACACTTTTGTCCCATATTTCTGAAAGCTTGTAAAACCAATTTTGAATTGCACGACCCACTCCGTTGCTTATGCCAGGATTTTAACTCTCATTCCAGCACGTTTGATATATCAGATCCGCTTTTCAGCATTAAGAAAGCGATACTCTCCTCTCTCAATAAGTGAATTATTGACATAAATACATAAAATCAGCTGATGAATTTAGTTCTGTAGCTGAACAATTTTAGATCTCGACACTTAACAAACTCCTGCCTATCGTGACTGGGCGCAAAAATTTAAAATATTGGTTCCGTACGTCATGCGGACTGCGCCCCTCGTGCGGATGGGCGGGAATGGAGGGTAAAAACCGTTGGGATATTATTATTATTATTATTATTATTACCCTTGGAGAAAAATTTTAGCTATTGTAAAAAGGGGTGACATCTCCCATACAAACCGAATTTTTCATTCACGTTCATATTTGCCAGACTGACCGACCGACGACTGCTAGCAGCGTTGAAGATGAACTGTGTATTTGTGCGTTAGGTTTGCCAAAGTAATGGAGAGACGTTAAGCAAAAGCGATAAATGATTTGAGTAACTATATAAACTTTATATATTACTAGCTTATACCCGCGGGTTTCACCCCGCGTTTTTATACAAATATGAAAAATAATTTAATGATGTTAGATTTTATTTCTGTGCCCATTTCGTTATAACTCATTATTTTTTAAGCGAGTTAAGGTATTTAGGCCGTTTAAAACTATGAAATTATAAAATCTCGTCTGTGCGCTAGGCATACGAAAGATATCAATCCCTCTAAGTTTACCTTAAAATGGTTCCAGGTATACGACGCGTGAACGTGTAACCTTCTTGGAGGTGCCACGGCGGGTTCTAATATTTCCAACTCAAATTTAGTAACCTGGCCTTGATAAAATACCACTTCTTATTACTGTAGCAAATGCCTCAAGAGAGCTTTAGATTATAAGGCCGAACCCGGCTCTCCCTTTTCCATTTAATGAAATTTATTCTGTCAGTACGGCACTTATAAAATAAATCTCCATAACAAATTTAAAATACTTCGAGAGATTTTCTATCCTTCCAGAGATATGTATTAAGAAGTTTTTAGTATGTATGGGAGGCGACATGTCTCCTTTTTTAATAACTCACATTTTTTCCATGAGCAATTGACACATTTTGCATACACAACTCCATACCAAGTTCCAGTATTCTTCCACTAACACTTCCAGGGATATGTGGCAAGAAAAAGTAAATTTGTACCGGAAGTGCCACGCCCCTTTTTCTTATAACCCTAATGTTCTTCCATGAATTTAGAATTGATTTTACATACCCCGGTACCAAGTCCCAGTACTCTACCATGAACACCTCTAGACATAAGCAGTATAAAACAGTAAATTTGTACGGGAGGAACCATGTCCCGTTTTCGAATAACGCAAATTTTTCTCCATGAGTATGGAATTAATTTTGTATACACATCTCGATGCCAAGTTCCAGTCCTCTGCAATAAACACCTCCAGAGATATGCAGCATAGAAAAATCAATTTGCATGGGAGTTGCCGCACCACCTTTTCCAATAACTCTAATTTTTCTCCATGAGTATGGTATTAGTTTCACATACATACATACATATGTATTTCCAAGCTTGAGTGCTTTACCCCAAACATTTGAAGAGATATGCAATATGAAACTGTCAGTATGGGAGGTACTACGCCTCTTTTCCAAAAACGTCCATTTTTCTCCGTGAATATGAATATGACTTCACACAATGTTGGCAAAATTTTAATCTGATTAACGATTAAAAATTAACGATTAAAATGTTAATCGCGTTTGACGATTAAAATTAATTAGTCGTAATCAACTGTAAGATTAATGATTAAATTTTTTTAATCGTTATCTCTGTGCGAAATGTCATTTGTAATTTGATTAAAACTTTTTTAACAGGTGGCAACTCTTCCAAAAATTAGCCTATTTTCCACTGTAGGTCATAAGCTATCTGCTTGCAAAATTTCATGCAAATCCGTTCAGACTTTTCCGCGTTTTAATTTAATTAAACTTTTTTAGCAGGTGGTAACTCTTAAAAAAGTAGCCTATTTTTCAACCTGGCTCATAGGCTCACTCATTTCCGCGTATTAATTAAATTAAACATTTCTAACAGGTAGCAACTCTTAAAAAAGTAGCCTACTTTCTAACCTAGGTCATAAGCTATCCGTGTGCAAAATTAATTTAATTAAACTTTTTTTAACAGGTGGCAACTCTTCCAAAAAATTAACCTATTTTCCACTGTAGGTCATAAGCTATCTGCTTGCAAAATTTCATGCAAATCCATTCAGTCGTTTCCGCGTATTAATTTAATGAAACTTTTTTAACAGGGGGAAACTGTTAAGAAGATAAGCCTATTTTCCAATCTGGCACACAAGCTATCCGCGTACCAAATTTGATGCAAATCTGTTCAGTCGTTTCCGCGTGATGATTTCCCAAACATCCAAACATACAAACTTTCACATTTATAATATTAGTAGAAGTAAGATGTAACTCTACCCTGCAGGGAAAAATACTAGTTGTGAACTCGAATAATACCAGTTCGCTTTTCAGCTCAACCAGTTCGTGTTCTATCTTTTTTCCGTGGTAGCAACTGGTATTATTAACACGGCGATGTCCTACGAAATTTCAATTGTCCGGCTATGCACCTGCATATACCAGTTAAAATACCAGTTCGTACTAGTAAAACAAAATAGTAGTCCAATAGAATCCGAAAAATTCAGTTTGAGACCAGTTAAAATATAAATAAAAACATCCAGATTAACGTTTTAAAATACTTTATTTCATATAAAAATTGTATAAAAAACTAGCTTTTTATTAAAATTTAGCGTTTGAATTAAAATGCTTAATCAAAGAAATGCAGTTTTATTTGGCAGCTCTATTCCTTCAGAAACCAACAAAACGAATAAAATAAATAGATATTGCTATAAAAATAAAAAAATAATATTCATTAGATACATACATGGTATCTTAAACAAGTGGTAATATATACTAAGAGTAAAAGAGTAAATAAAATTCTTATATAACGATTTGGTTAGTTAAATTAATATAAATTCATTTAAAATGAAGCTCATTTCAGTCATATTTGTAAGTTTCTTAGGCTCTAAGTACATCTGTACATATATCTAAATTAAGGGGAAAACAATTTTAACGTAATTATACATGATTTCTTTGGAAAAAATAAAAACAAAATGGAAACATCCAAACCGAAAAAATAAATTATGCATACATAAAAATTCATTGCGTACATAAGTTTGAAAAAACTTTTCAATTTCTTTTGTAAGCTTCTTTCAGGCACAGTAGTTGGTAGGTATTCAAAAATTAATTTAAATTTGCACTATTGGTAAATATATTCTAATTGAAACTAACACAAATTCTCAAAAAAAAATCAATAAAAAATAAAATTTTGGGTATTCATTAAAAAAAAAAAAAAATAAAGCCAGTTAAACATCGTGATTTGCTGCGAAGATTTTTCCGCGAGAGCCCTTTTTTGAAAAAACCTCTTCTTGTTCAACTGGAGTGCTTTTATTAGTTGCGTTTCTGATTCATCGGCGCTGGTAAAGCTTATTATAGATTCTGAAACAAAATACATTAATTAAAATATGTACATTTATCTTGCTATTATGTATAAGTTCATTACCCAAAAAAACCGCATAGAAATTTGTATGTTCTTTGAGGCTCTTTTTTCCGTGGGTTCCGTCTACGTTGTACTCCATTATTATGTCAGTACTGAACACGTATTTCAGGTTTTTGCTGAGTGAGTGTTGAAGCAGAGTTCTTATTACAGAAATCTGTCGAAAATAAACTTAATACATTGCATTCCGTTATTTTTCGTGATCGAAGACAATACCCACCAACATGGAACGGGTTTCCGGTACCACTTTTTCATTAATCTTAATTAAGTCTTCTGTAGAGGTCAGAGGAAAACAAGATTTAATCGACCCTGCCGTAGAATCTTGCCGAACCAATTTTCCTGTAACTACTTTTTGCTCTGCCAGCGCCGACATTACCGAAGAATTTTGCGCAGTCATGGTTGCTAGAAACAATAGAGCTTAAGAATAAAATAAATTCCTTTTGAATATGAGAAATTTCTTACATATGATCTCGTTCTTCTAGTTTTCCACCGTTTCTGAAAAAAAAACAGTTCATAAGCAGGATAGGTCAATTTATGATTTATTGTAGATATTTGGTGATGCAGTCGGAATTTTGTAAGCATAACAAAAATAATAAAACACGAAGCATAAAAAATTGTTTACCTTGTGAACTCGTCAACTTCACCTCCAAAGCACAACATCCCGCACATTCTTTAATTGCTTCCTTATCTAGAAAAAATAATTTATATGTACTGTTTTATATTTTGTGTAGATGCTAGTGCTGCAAAACCATCGATAGTGGCACCATCGATAATATCGATGGTTTATTAGGGTGACCCGTTAAATGGAAAAGGAAATATTATTTTATTTACACATATTATATTAAATGAATTTAATGATAATATCAATGGTTCCATCGATGGTTTTGCGGCACTAGGGCATACATATTCTGTCTTTTACAACTTACTACGAGGAGGTATATTTTCGTTATTTTGAAAGCGTATTCGCTTGATATCTTTCGGCATCTCGGACGTTAATATTTGCTTTAAAAATTATTTACAATATATATTGTTGAGTTAAGAACAGCCATGTAACAATGGTAGCAAGAGTATACTATCAGTATGAGGAAGACCCATCAATTTACATAATAATACATAATAATACACAATAATTTTCAATAGAAGTTGGTGAACTGTCTGACATGCATATCCCTAATGTCATTGAGTCAACGGGTTAAAAAAAAAAACTTTTTAAATTCAAAATTTTTTTGCCTATTACATATTTTTTGTCTTCTGATAATCCTTGTATTTCTATGGGTGTAAAAGGTTTGATAAGACAAAAACTATCTGGGTTTTTCGTAGTGAGAATCTTATCTTTAAAATAAAAACATAAACCCTTATTTTTTAATGATTTGAACCCTCTAGGCTTATCGTTTGCTATTAAATTTCCTTGACTGACTCTACCTACAATTTGTTGAAGTATATGACTTGGGTTTTTAACATATTTCTTTAAAATTTGCAAATAATTTTCAAAATCATATGCCGAAAAACTTGGTAAGGGACCTATTGATTTTATGTTCTCAGTCAGGTGTAATAGCTGATGTACGTTATATGTTACACTGCTATCTCCAAAAATGTTTGAAAAATTTTGAACAAACAAAGCAAGCATACCTTTTGAAAGGGATACATTTTTAGCATATGTTTTGGGGCAAAAGAGTATTCTACAGGCACAATGTAATAGTAAAAACTCATTATATTGGTCATCATGAATATTGCCTTTTAAAACAAGAACACTTGTATATAAAAGCAATTGACGAAATTCAGTCGCTTTCCAATTAAAGATTTCAACTAGGGACCTGGGTTTCCTCACACATTCTTTCGTTATAAAGGGTACTAAAGATTGTAACATTTCAGAAATTTAGTTTTTCTTGGTTTTCTCCACTTTAGAATTTACTTTATCTTGCAGTAATCTTAACAAAAATTTGCGCATTATTCCTAAATCCAGCAAATGCATGTCATCTATAGCTATTTGGCTTATCATTTTTACTCCTACGTTTTCTAAAGGCGTCATCGAATTTCTGAATTTCTGAATATGATGCGTTGGATATTTGGATATTTTCTGTTCAGAAAATTGTCGTCAGTTAGTAACTCCCCTGGTTCTGAACTATATACTAGCATATTATTAACTTTTCTTCCAGTTTGTGTACATTTGCCGCAACCATGAGAAGAGACATGGCTGGGTGTACCACAAACAAAAGCTTTTGCCGGAGCGTCACAAACTAAGGATCTTATCTGAACTTTCAATAATTTTCCACCCAAATCAACACCATTTTTCAAAATTTCTTCCATTTCTACAACAAAAGAATTCAAAAACTCAGATATGCTATTTGGCTTTTTATTTCCCAAATAAATGCCTACGGGAAAAACGGAAACTTCTGTGAAATCTACTATTCTTACCAAAATTGGCCACAATTGAGCTCGAGAGCTTTTGTATAATGGTAAGCGATCAATATTGATGTCGATAAAAATGATATCAACTTCTTCAATTATGTGTGCAATTTTTTGCAACTGTGGCCGTAAGCCAATATGGCAATATAGTCCCGGAGATATGGATTCAATATTTGCCCTTTGTCTTTTTTTGGCAAAAAGCGTTTCTGGACATCTTGGAACATCCAAATTTTGTTCTTGCAAAAGAGAAAGTAAGCCCTCAAATGACTTACGTGGCGGTCTATATTTAACGTACCAATCTAAAAGTTTCCTTCTAAAAGAGGGTTCCGTATCTGTGTCCGGATTGAAATTAATAACATCTTCAAACTCTGAAGAAAAAGGAGGAGAGCCTATGACGCCACTTGAACATGCGCCATTTTCTTCTAGTTGAATTGAAGACTGCAAAATCTCAGAAATTCTATTGGCATTGTTTAAACTATTACAATATACCTCCCTTTGCTTTTTTTTAAGTCTTCTCATATTCCTCTTGCTACTCATTTTTGTTAAAACCTTTAACTCACAATTTTTTAAAACTTTGAAGCAAACTTTGACCACACCGTATTACGCGTCAGTATTCTTTGTAATAGATAAAATTTAGTTATGTGATTATGTTCGTCCAGTGCAATACAATCGAATCGCTTATAGTTTTATCGAAAACATTTTGAACGAATAAATGGCCTATTCGCGTTTTCAATCGATTATTGGTTATATTATAGTACCAGGTAAACGATTAATCGCGAAAAGTTCATAATTATCGGCTTGTTTGGCCTTGCTTACTTTTCAAATTTGTACCCTTTTCTTTTATC